GCCGATGTAATTATTTATGAGTCCGGTTTGGTGAGGAACGCAGTTCCTTAAAGGGCATTTGAACTCATAGATAAAACATGCATATATATATATATATATATATATATATATATATATATATATATATATATATATATATGTATTCAAGTTTCATTAAGGCACTGCAGTTAATCTTTTTATTTAATTTTTCTTGTGTTCGTATGTTTTCTGGACATAAAATATGTAAAATTTCTACATATCCAAGCGCTTTCTGTTATTCTTTTCGACGTCATGAAGAGTGTATTTTTATTTTTATATTTAACTGAATGTTAAAACTCTATACATTTGGTTAAAAATAAAATAATTGTCAGTCGTCTTTAAAGAAGCTTGTATTAGAAATACCCAATTATATATACAACAAAACTATATATATATATCGCGAATCCCGTGACTCATTAGGGTCGTAGGGGCACCACATGTACTGCAGCCGCAGTACATGTTTCTGGGGTAAGACAGCTGGTTTTGAATCCTGAGTTTCTTCTCCTAGACAGGTCGCCACCCAATGCTATAGAACCCAGTCTTTCCTGCTATTTACCCATAGCTGGGAGTATAGTAGAAGAGGATTCCTATCTTTCCCAAGGGTATTAGCACGTAAGTGATTGTAATGGGTACGACTGGAATTCGAACTCGGCTCTCCGATTCCTCACTCCGAGCCACTATCCATTAATCAACCGTTGCCCCTCTTCCTCCCTCCTTTCAGTCTGTCTCTCTCTCCCTTTCTTTCTCTCTCTCTCTTTCTCTCTCTCTCTCTCTCTCTCTCTATCTATATATATATATATATATATATATATATATATATATATGCCTACGTTCAAAGTGCAACAAAGTTTCGTGGTTCTACCACCTCATCAGGCACAAACTATTACGGTTGATACACCTTATATTAAAAGTAAATATTTATTTGCTTACCTGTGTATGCACGCTAACGAACGTATATACGGTTGCTAATATCTAATTATCTGGTTTATGTCTATATTTATAGTCATATATATATATCCGATGCGATGAGAACGAAAGTAATATATAAATTCTAACGTTCACAGCATTAATCCTAAAGAGGGCTCGATACCGATAGTAGAGCGATAATTATTTATTTATTATAATTTTTTTATCATATTGACAAAACCATTTTACTCACTACAAAGATACAACTTCGTTTCAGTGCATTTCAACTGCACTTCGACGGGTGAGAATCGAAAATAGTTATTAACAATCCTGCTTCTGGATTGGGTGTTTAATGTCAACATTAAACACCCAATCTATTGCTGTTCATGACCATTTTCGATTCTCCCACGTCGAAGTGCAGTTGAAATGCACTGAAACGAAGTTGCATCTTTGTAGTGAGTAAAATGGTTTTGTCTATATGATAAAATTATAAGAAATAATCGCTCTACTATCGGTATCGAGCCCTTTTGATTAATGCTGTGAACGTTGAAATTTATATATTACTTTCGTGTTCGCATCGATATATATATATATATATATATATATATATATATATATATATATATATATATATATTCTATGCTTCTAATGCTCTAGATGGAGCGAGGGCTTGGTGAAAGAAGATGCTGCTCTTGTGGCCGTTTCCGGTGGGTTATGTATGGCTGGCTGAGTATCACGACCTGAATTAGGAGTAGCTGCGCTGTATTGCGTCCAGTTTGTTTCCTCTTATTAAATACCCCCCCCATTGTGATATGATATGCTTTGCCAAGGTGAGTAAAATATTGTAAGAAGATAGGTGTAAATTATACTGCGGATGATATCCTTTTGTAGAGGGCGAGTCAGACAGTGTTTCGGAAGACGGCCATGATATCAAATGAACTTTCTTTAAGGCAATACTTTCCTCAGAAATTAAACACATTTTCCAAAGTGTTCAATGAAGAAATACCTAAGTATCCATTTAAAATTTCGACAATCAAAATTCATTTTTATTTTCTTAGTTTCTATGGGCTTGTTTTATTTCAGACAAAAAAGATTTCTGGAATGAAAAAAATAAAAGAGTACGGTAATTGTCTTCAGTTACGGGGTGGTCTAAAATCCTTCGCGAGCCAAATATGGCCCGGGGACCGTGGGTTGCCTACCCCTGATGTAACGACTAAAGCACTTTATGTACACTTTCGTTTTAGTAGATTTCTTTCTCTTTGAATTAAAGTAGCAGTTGTTAAACGAGATTATGGTCAGATTCATATGTCATGCATTTTGACGGACTTTATAAGTTTGATAATATCCATGAGCATTTAAATCGCACAAAAATTAAATATTTATTAACTTTCTACCGTTGGAATGAAAAAATAGTGGATAAAATATTCTGAAAGTCTAAAAATTAATCAAATTTTAAAAAAATGGAGATATGTGTGTTTGAAAAATTATTTATAATTTTAACAAAATTTAATGATAAAATCAATTGAAATCGTATTGGAATGACTGAATTTTAAAACATCTACGTTTTTGATGGCATCTAAGACGGAAGGGCATAAAATTCTCTCCATTTTTTGCCGGGAATAAAATAATTGTTGGCTAGTACATCGAATGTTACTGAACCTTTATGCGTATTCTTAATTTGGCCCTGTTCAAAACAAGTTTATTTTCTCAAAAGTTACTATAAGTTTATGAAATCCTACAGGATGCGATGAATAAATTGTCGTCTAAATTCTACAAAAATGAAAATAATACTGACATCTGATTTTAACAGATATATTTACCAAAATTACACAAAAATATCTAGAAATACTAAAAAGTAAAGTTATCCAATAAAATCGCCATTGGCTTAAAGCACTGACTCCAGACGAATTCTGAATCTTCTGCAAATTTTCTGGAGCGTTTCCTTGTTTAAATTCTTGAATACTGCCAATATCCTTACCTTCAATTCGTCTTTGGTGTTACAAGGAGTTTTGTTGCTCTTTCGTTCAATTGCGTCCTACACACAATAATCAAGGGGGTTGCAGTCTGGGGAGTTAGGTGGCCAGATATAAGGGGTCATGTGGTCACAGAAATCGCCAGACAGCCATGACTGGGTTCTCCTGCTTGTGTGGCATGGTGCAGAGTCCTGTTACCTGACATAGGGTCTTCCAGCAGCCACTTTCTTGACCGGGTAGCACTACCCCCTCAAAGAACTTGATGTAGAACCTCCGCATATAATCTGATGCCCCCACCAACAAATTCGGGATTTCTTTTCTTAACAGAACGATCAGAGTGACTTTTCCCGGCTGCCGAACCTTCGTAATCACAATTAAACACATCCAACTATTTTCGAATCCTCTGAAATGTCCTCGGATTGACAGCCAAATAATGTAAACATTCGTATTGGAGCTTCCGGCGCAAAAGCTAAGCACTACAGCATGCCGTTTCCAAATTTCTGGCGGAGTGAACTGCGTCATGGTCCTCTCTTTCTCACAGACGGTGGCCAACTGATCCCACTATAGTGTGCAGTCGACAAAATCAAGAATGAATAACGCGCATGCTCGAAATTAAAAATATAAAATGGCGACAATTTACCCACCGCACCTTTTATTTGTTGGGTTGAAAAATGTGCGTCTTATATACTGTCAGTTATTGTATGTATAGACATAATCAATTATTCAAACTAATGATCATATTCTTTTTTTACTATAAGTCAGTAGTGAAAAATTTCACAGTTTTCTTGAATTTTCTGATGAATCTCAATTCTTAAGTTAATGACTGAATAAGCTTAGGGCGAGTTCTACGAGAATAAAATACCCGTATAAATTCCCCTATGGCACCGTTACATACGTATATTTGAGCTTAGCATATTTAGTAAAATATTGCAATGACTGTTATACCTATGAACGCTGATCGCTATTTTAAGAAGTAAGGGGGTACAAATGAAAATATTTCAAGCTGAAATTTTCCATTTCACTGAAACAAACAGTAAACACTTCTATCTTCCCTTCTTTTTTTCTTTCCTTCTTTCATTTTCTCACTGAAACCAAGTAGCGTCTCTGATATTTCTTTTCCGTCTTTCCATGCGATCAAAACGGAATAGTCTATTATTTGTGAGGTACTGGCAGAGCGTAACGTTGACTCTTGCTAGGAAACAGACAAACAGAATTATAATAAGATGGTTACCAAAAGTTTTCAAATGATTCATTCTCCAACAATATTCATGGAAAAAGGTGGAAGTAATGTTTTCTAAGGTCTGGAACTAGAGTTGGTTATTAAGAAGAGAAAACTACACTGTTTTTAGTAGAGCATAACTAGTTAAAGAACCTGTCAACGTCTGATGTCATATAGCAGAAGTATCAAATTAGGGATGTCATATAGCGGAAGTATCAAATTACAGATGTCATATAGCGGAAGTATCAAATTAGGGATATCATATAGCCGTAGTATCAAATTAGGGATGGCATATAGCGGAAGTATCAAATTAGGGATATCATATAGCGGAAGTATCAAATAAGGGATGTCATATAGCCGTAGTATCAAATTAGGGATATCATATAGCGGAAGTATCAAATTAGGGATATCATATAGCGGAAGTATGAAATTATTGATGTCGTATAGCCGTAGTATCAAATTAGGGATATCATATAGCGGAAGTATCAAATTATTGATCTCATATAGCGGAGATATCAATTTAGTGATGTCATATAGCGGAAGTATCAAATTAGGCATTTCCAAAACGTTAAATGAAGGCATTTTCTTATCTGTAAAGGTTGCTTTTATTCATAGTCCAGGATTTTTCTTCGTTGTTGAATAGTTGCTTTTGTTTAGCAGGTTATTTAATGCCGAAATCTAAATATTTTGCACACAATTTTAATGTTATTCTTAGAAATAGTAATGATTTAGTGACACAAGTGTTAGTAATTAACCCATAACTAGGAGGAGAAAAGATGGATTCATACCTTTCCCAAGCGTATTTGCTCGTAACTGCAATTGGAACTCGGCTCTCGAATTAACAATTCTGAGTCATTAGACATTATACAACCCGTATATCAAAACTTACAGCACCTGGTACTCCAAAGCGGTCATCCATCTAGGTAGTGACCAGGCTCGACGTTGCTTAACTTCGGTGATCTTACGGAAACCGGGGTTTAAACGTGATGTGGCTATAAGCCTTTCATTGTTGTTCCTTTATCTATTATCGCAATATAAAGAGAGTAGAGATGTTTTGTTTAAAGAGTTTGTTTGCAAGTTTCTCTTACGAGCGAATACTGCATTAAAATGGATCTTTTTTAGAATAACAATGATTTTTTTTTCCTGAAGCGACTTACTATTTAACACATAGCTGATGGTAGGATATGGATTCATACATTTTCCAACGGTATTTGCCCGTAAATGAATTTAACAAACGTCGCTGTAATTCGAACTCAGTACTCCGATTTTTCAGATCCGTTATTCATTACGTCACTCGAACAGTAAATATAATAATAATAATAATATTTGGATATTGCATCATATTATTAAAACTGCATTCATATTCCCCTGTTAGCGCACTTTAAATCAAGTTTCTTTTTGTGTATTTATTATAAACTAGACTACCCGTGATTCGTTGGGTCAATGACGGTTCAGGTTATATATCGTTTCCAGCATAAATTAATATTACCATGAAATATTACAGGTACGTGGCACACTGAGAAAAAAAATATGCCTGTCCGCCATTCTCAGATAGTTTGAGAAGCACTGAACTAGACTACCCGTGATTCGTTGGGTCAATGACGGTTCAGGTTATAAAACGTTGAAGTTGATTTCAACATTAAAAAAAATTGTCTGTCTGAAGAAAGTTGAAATTAAAATTCTTACCGTATAAACAAGTCGTATTTTTAAATCTTATTCACTTTTTTTTTTTTAATCGGATTAACTTAAAAATATTTTTTAATGTACCAAAAAATATTTTAAAATAATATTCACTTGAAAATATTTATCTAAATATGCGACAAATATTTTTTAAATATTTAAAATATCGTTTGTTTAAAGAAAGCTGAAATATAAATAATTATTCTACAAACAACTGGACGAAACAGCAAAGGGGAATCTTTTTGTCTTTAACTTAAAAATATTTTAATTAAAAAATATATCTGTTTGAAGAAAGTTAAAATAAAAATACTTACTCTATAAAGAACTCGTATTTTAAATCTTATTCATTTTTTAAAATCATATTCACTTGAAGATATGTTTTTAAATATGCCAAAAATATTTTTTAAATATTTAAATATCGTTTGTTTAAAGAAAGCAGAAATATAAATAATTACCCTACAAAAAAATGGACGAAGCAGCAAACAACTAGTATTTTAAAATCTCATTCACTTAAATCAGATTATCCTAAATCATTATGCGCCAGGCAGACGGACGTACCACACAAGCACGCAAGCAATCACAGATTTTTAGTATCATATAAATAAAAATGTTGTTATTATATAATATGAAATAAGGTAACTATTGAAATTTAATAAGTTTTATACCTAATAGATCAATAACTAACTGTATACCCATATATGAAATTTCCTTAAATTACTACTGAATCTTTAACGAGTTTTATATGTTTGAAAAGATTTAGAATCAATTTATTTATTTTTGATTAATTCGTTTTTTACGGTTTATCAACAATTTGTAGGTTATTTAAAACCAAAAATATTTTTAGATTTTAAGAATATTTATTTGGAGATAATGGGTTAGTGATACTAATTAATCCATAGCTGGGGGAGAAGAGATGGATTCATACGTTTCCCATTCGCGCGTATAACAAAACCAAGGGGAATTAACAATTCCGAATCATTAGCCATTACAACTGCCGCACATTCAGGCTTACAGCACCTGGTATCCCCGAACGGTCACCCATCTATCACCTGATTCGATGTTGCTTAACTTCGGTTATTCAACGTGATATACTCGTAATCCTATTTTTTCGAATACAAAACTCGGTTAGACTCGAAATTATGACACTAAGGAGAAAATCAGAAACGGAGAAATAAAATTAAGATTTGTTACAGAAATCCTCATCCACTTGTATTTTAGAATCAATACAATAGTCCGGTGGGTAAATTAATGAACAAGCACATTCCTATAATTATTCTTCATACTAAAATTCATCCATGAGCCACTGAAGATACAATACCTCACTCTCGTGGCTAACAATAACATATAATAATGTGCACAGAGCTTAAATATACTTATGAAGCTTATTGCAATATCTCACTATCGTGACTAACAATACCATATTCTAATGTGTACAGAGCTTAAATATACTTATGAAGCTTATTGTAATCTCTCACTATCGTGACTAACAATACCATATTCTAATGTGTACAGAGCTTAAAAATATTTATGAAGCTTATTGCAATCTCTCACTATCGTGACTAACAATGCCATATTCTAATGTGTACAGAGCTTAAATATACTTATGAAGCTTATTGCAATCTCTCACTATCGTGACTAACAATGCCATATTCTAATGTGTACAGAGCTTAAATATACTTATGAAGCTCATAGCAATCTCTCACTATCGTGACTAACAATACCATATTCTAATGTGTACAGAGCTTAAATATACTTATGAAGCTTATTGTAATCTCTCACTATCGTGACTAACAATACCATATTCTAATGTGTACAGAGCTTAAAAATATTTAGGAAGCTTATTGCAATCTCTCACTATCGTGACTAACAATGCCATATTCTAATGTGTACAGAGCTTAAATATACTTATGAAGCTTATTGCAACTCTCTCACTATCGTGACTAACAATACCATATTCTAATGTGTACAGAGCTTAAATATCTTATGAAGCTTATTGACTATCGTGACTAACAATGCCATATTCTAATGTGTACAGAGCTTAAATATACTTATGAAGTTTATTGCAACTCTCACTATCGTGACTAACAATACCATATTCTAATGTGTACAGAGCTTAAATATACTTATGAAGCTTATTGCAACTTCTCACTATCGTGACTAACAATACCATATTCTAATGTGTACAGAGCTTAAATATACTTATGAAGCTTATTGCAATCTCTCACTATCGTGACTAACAATACCATATTCTAATGTGTACAGAGCTTAAATATACTTATGAAGCTTATTGCAATCTCTCACTATCGTGACTAATAATGCCATATTCTAATGTGTACATATTTAAATATACTTATGAAGCTTATTGCAATCTCTCACTATCGTGACTAACAATACCATATTCTAATGTGTACAGAGCTTAAATATACTTATGAAGCTTATTGCAACTCTCACTATCGTGACTAACAATACCATATTCTAATGTACAGAGCTTAAATATACTTATTATTGAAGTGACTAACAATGCCATATTCTAATGTGTACAGATCTTAAATATACTTATGAAGCTTATTGCAATCTCTCACTATCGTGACTAACAATACCATATTCTAATGTGTACAGAGCTTAAATATACTTATGAAGCTCATTGCAATCTCTCACTATCGTGACTAACAATGCCATATTCTAATGTGTACAGAGCTTAAATATACTTATGAAGCTTATTGCAATCTCTCACTATCGTGACTAACAATGCCATATTCTAATGTGTACAGAGCTTAAATATACTTATGAAGCTCATTGCAATCTCTCACTATCGTGACTAACAATACCATATTCTAATGTGTACAGAGCTTAAATATACTTATGAAGCTTATTGCAATCTGACTCACTATCGTGACTAATTGCAACTCTCTCAATGACCATATTCTAATGTGTACAGAGCTTAAATATACTTATGAAGCTTATTGCAATCTCTCACTATCGTGACTAACAATACCATATTCTAATGTGTACAGATCTTAAATATACTTATGAATCTTATTGCAATCTCTCACTATCGTGACTAACAATACCATATTCTAATGTGTACAGATCTTAAATATACTTATGAAGCTTATTGCAATCTCTCACTATCGTGACTAACAATACCATATTCTAATGTGTACAGAGCTTAAATATACTTATGAAGCTTATTGCAATCTCTCACTATCGTGACTAACAATACCATATTCTAATGTGTACAGAGCTTAAATATACTTATGAAGCTTATTGCAATCTCTCACTATCGTGACTAACAATGCCATATTCTAATGTACAGAGCTTAAATATACAGTTTAGCAATCTTAAATAACAATACTCTAATGAAGCTTAAATATACTTATGAAGCTTATTGCAATCTCTCACTATCGTGACTAACAATGCCATATTCTAATGTGCACAGAGCTTAAATATACTTATGAAGCTTATTGCAATCTCTCACTATCGTGACTAACAATACCATATTCTAATGTGCACAGAGCTTAAATATACTTGTGAAACTTATTGCAATCTCTCACTTTTTCCTTATTCTGAATTGTAAACTCCTTACATATCCTTGCAATATTTATTGTAATTGCTTGCTGTCATGTATAATCTTCTTTTTATTATAACAATGTTCACCCAATACAAGGCCCAAGACCTACTCAAGGTAGAAGGTTTCTGTGAGATGTCGTATGAGCGTAAAAAAAGGCAAGAACTGAAGTTAATAGGGTTATGTAGGAAATATAACGGTTAACCCTAGACTTCAAAACGTCAAGTTTATAGTGCTTGCGAAAAACATCCTACCAGGAGTTTTATTCCACAAAGCAGCAGTTCTTGCGAAGAAGCTGTCCCCGTGGGACTTACTCCTTGCTAATGGAATACGATGTAAATGGGGATGATTCGCTCTTGAATACGTAGCATGTTAGGTCCAGTAGACACTTTTTTACTCTATCAAGACAGGTAGGTGAGCTGCAGTTGGACCGTTTTCTTTTTCTTTCAGATGTGAGATGAAGAAAAGATCAGTCGAGAACTTGTGTTAGCATTAGAAAATATGCAAAGATTTGAACATCCGAATAATATTGGGCATGTTAATGCCTATTCCCGAGGTTATAGACAAAACAAAGAAAAATTGCTTTCTTTAGCAACGTTTTTCATTTGATTTGTTAATTTATATATCTATCGCGTGTGCAAACATTAGATAAATAAATTATTCAACCTAAATTCTGTCAGGTCATCCCATAAGTTCTGTCCGAATTTTGAATAAAGAAAACAAGTGACTAAATGTTACATTTAATT